TTCAGCAGATGTGGAAAGCTCCTTACCTCGATCCATTCATGTGGTCATATTCCCTTTTTACATTGACCCGGACGGGCTGATTAATCCACTCCTGCTGGGGAGGCAGAGGGTTGATTTTGTGCGGCTGGCCATAGTCAGGGTTCCCTGAGGCTGTCATGTCTGCCTTGGGGAGGTGAGTGGCAGCGCCGTACGTGGAGTCAAAGAGGGACTGGTCGTCGCTCACCACCGACAGAGCCTCCTGAGGAGAAAGAAGAACAAGGGCTCAGAACCATGACTAAACCAGTAACTCCACTCTTAGTCTCTCTTTGAGCTGGTGAGCACCTGCAAGGGCCCCACAGCTGCCTGGCGCTGTCTGAAATTGCCATCTGCCAGGATTGCGGATTGAATCAGATCTTTTGGGGTCCATTAACCCCTATGCAAAACCAGTGGGTTGCTTTGCACTGCTCTGGGTGGGGCAGGAATTAAGGTTAACTTGACTTCTGCAAAGAGGAAAAGTGGCTGCTGGGTGCTGTACCATTCTCATTGCTCGCTGTAAGCAGCTTTCATAGTTACCTGCCCACCTGCCCGCACTTGCTGGTCCAAAACCAACCAGAGATGTGCAGCATGGAACAGCTCTGGAGTGTCACTTGAAGGTCTATACATCTTCTTTCAAAGGGTTGTGTGTGGTGTTTGTATTTTGAGGTTACTAGTGAAGGAGAAGCAGGCAGTGCAGGTCAGAGTTATGGGTGTTAGTGGTGGGATAAAGAATGCATTACTTGACACTTTCTGTTTGTTTTGTGGGAAGTGTAGGACTGGTGAGTTACCAAACTGCGCATTTCTAGAAATGCTTAAAAACAGGAAATCGTTCTCCTTTTTGGGTTTTTTTTCCCTGCAGAAACTCCAAATGTTAACAAAAAGTTTTGACTATCAATTTCCTCCTGTTGATGTGCTTGGGTTTTCTAAATGAAGCATGCCAGGCTCATAAAGGCTTTGGCACAGTCCTGCCTTATTCAAAGTGCATCTGACAAGGTCTGCGTGTTCTTTACGGAGCTGAGTTAACCGCACACAACACAGCTGCCATTATGGCTGGCAAACCAGAAACTGAACGAGGAACCTCCCAAACTAAAAGCACACACGACTTTAATGCGAGCTAATGGAGCAGACCACCAAAACAAAGGAAACAACAGACTCACCTACCCTGCAGACTGAGCATTCAAAAGACCCCTAACACTGATGTGTGTGCAGTGGTGGGTTACCCGTGAACATCCAGACCCTGTCTTTGCTTTGAAAGCTGGTGTGCTGCTAAACCCTCAGTGCTCAAAAGTCACAAGACACAGCCCAAATCACGAGCTTTTAGAAACAATAAAGGATTGCAAATGCTTCCATAACCAGGGAGGGAAACAGAAATTCTTAGAACAGTGCAGCTGCTGGAATCCTCCGATTACACGAGCATCTAAGTGCGAATCAGATATTACCAGGCTCATGATATCATCACAGAATATGTCAATAGCTGGAGTCTACTGGGTAAACATGAGAATCCCTCTCAGCTTGAAATTAACCCACTTGGAAAGAGTCGGGTCAGTGCTCGGCATTTAGAAACATCAGCACTTTTCCAGCCCGGATCTGAGATCACTTAACCAAACCAAGTAAGGCTAGAATGTGAGTGGGCCTGACTAATGTTGAATTCAGAGGAA